TGTGTTTTTGGTAGAGTTGGGGTTTCACCACGTTGGCCAGGCTGGTCTAGAGCTCCTGGCCTCAGGTGATCCACCCACCTCAGCCTCCCAAATTGCTGGAATTACAGGTGTGAGCTATCACGTCAGGCCAGAATATTTAGATTTAAAATAAATTTTTAGTACTTAAGTTTTCTTGAATATCATAAAGAACTTTGTTATAATTTTTATAGTATTCATGGAATGATACCTTCTAGTATTATTTTCCATATGTATATCTTAAATTATTTCACAAATAGTTTGAGTTAATTAACAAATTTTTGTTATTTAAAGTGTATTCTTCAGAATACCAGTTCCTTAAAATGCTCCAAGTAAAACAGCTTCCATGGTCTAAATAAGTTGAAAAATTCTGTACATTATTTCTATCTTTTCAAGATTTATTGTGCACTTTCATAAATTGGGGGCTCTGAAGAATATTAGGGAAACAAACCTATGAAGCCTATTACATTGTTTTCCAAATTCTTTGGACAATGAAACATCTAACAATAGCATAATAACGATGCAGAAATAGCATCCTTGAAACTTATTAGAAAGGGCATGGACTTATAAGTTGAATTTCTTTTTTGCCATTTCTCTGTAATTCAGGTTGTTGGTGTGGCCTTTTGAAAAGAGCACTGAAGTAGGTGTCACCAAAACTAAATTACGATTATATTCTGCTGCTAAGAGGCAGTTGGATTTTAATTTATTTAATTCCTATGAGTCTCGATGTGCACATGGATAAACAAACATATTATAAAATACTCTGGGATTCTTTCCTAAATCTCTGACGTTCTGTTATTTTGTAATGTATATTTTATCCTGCTTTTCAAAGACATGGGCTTTTAAAAATTTTCTGCATCCCAGTTAATACCATAAGGCAGGGCATAATGTTTGTTCAGTATAAATAAAAGGCTCCTAAAAGTATGTGAAAGAAACAGAAATCAGTTTCAGATTTTTTTTGTGCTGCTTATTAAAAATCATACCTACATTAGTGTTACAGGTGTTTTAGAATTTGCCTAGTGATCTTTCCAGTTTTTTTTTTTTTACCAGAAATCCCATAAAAACAACAAAAAATAAATTTTATATATCTATATCTATATCTATCTATCTATCTATCTATATATATCTCCTATATAATCATGGCTTTCAACAAAAGATATAGATTGATTTTTCTCTTGTATGTTAAGCAATGTGGAGACAACTCATTCAGGCATGAATCACAGGCCAAAGTCTCTCAATTTCATTAGCTTTTCCTTCATGTTGACATGATGGCTGCTGCAGCTCCAGCCATAATATCTACCCTTTCAACAAGAAGAAAATAGTGATAGTGAAAAGCAGGAGGTGCCTACAGGAAGAAAGCAATAATTTCCCAATTATACCTAGCAGACTTAGTTTTGCCATCTCATTCAGCATGTGAAGAGTATCTAGCACTTTGGAAGAACTCAGAAATAGCTGTTGAATGACTCAAGCTCATAGGCCAGCCCTCTCTTTCATGACTATGCTCAGACATTCCCAGGTTCAGAAATGTAGGTTTCTTCCTCCTTAATCTAGGCCAGTTGATGAGTAAAATCCTGGTCCTATTGGAAAAGAAGGGAGCATTGTAGTCAATAGCAGTCTCTGCCACAAACTAGCTCTTTCTGAGTACTGTACTAATGCAAACAACTTTTTCAAACAAACAGAAACATCTATGGTGAAAAAGGGCCACAGATACTGACTCAGCCTCTTTGGGCAGTGTGGATAGTTTTCATCAACAATGCTCCTTTTAACTGCCAAATAGCCTTCTTTTTAAAAAATCATCATAAATGACTGCAGGTAATATTAACTTGACTTCAAGCATCCTATGAAAGCATAGTATAAACCTCATTGTGTAAAAATGTCCCAAACTTAGAACAAGATCCGTGAATGGAAAATATCAAATAGACTTTATTGCATAACTAGACCAATAAAATTTCATTATAAAAAGATGACCAAAAAAAAAAAAAAAAAAACCCAGATCCACACTATAATTGAAAATAATGGTAAAAACAAAAGTATCTCATAATTACAGAAAATGGGTTTTGGGAATGAAAGAAAGATCACACTCAAAATCTCTCTAACAAAGGAGTAAGTCATATCCACTGATAGCAGAAAGTGGTCTGAAATGCCACAGGCATGAACTAACGAATCACATTTTACAATAATTTATGATCAGCCAAGCATTTTTCACATGTCATGAATCTCAGTGCATTTAATCTTCCCAACTACCTACAAAAGAATGGCTGTAATCAGCCCCATTTGGCACATGGTAGAAACTGAGGAAATAGGACAACTTGCCTAAAGTCATGTATGTTCAAGCATCATCCATTATGTCTGTGATTCCAAAACAGACACAGCATGATATGATAAAAAGGCTGTAGCCTTTTTCATTTCCAATTTAATACTAAAATGATATTCATTTGGTCCCATCATAGTGCCGCTCCTCCAACATATTTTTTATTTACTTCAAACTCATCTACAATTTTTCTGGCTCCTTTTTTTTTTTTTTTTGCTAAGGATTGGTTTTGGCCTTGGGTCACAAGGCATAACCATACTTAGAGTGTCCACATGGAGAACCTGGTTTGGATGGCTCTGAAGGTCATTCTTTCTTAGTTTATTCATCAGCTGCTGATCCTTCTTCTCCTGGGTTTGAATGTAACAAGAAGTGAACCCAGGATATCACACAGTTACCCAGTTTTAAATCTGCGCCCTTTTTACTACATTCTTCTCTTGCCCCAGTGTAAATAGTTCAGCAATCATGTTTATGCTATTTGTTTGTATGATTTATGTAGATAGTGATTCCTAGGACGTGTTATCTAAATTATTATGCAGCCTTGCCAATTCTGGATTCATAGCAAAAATAAAAAATTATCCAATTAATTTAATTTATACCTCCAAAATTTATTAGAAACCTGTTTTACTGCAGGCACCTGGTCAACTTCTGACATCCCGGAGATGAGTAACACCCATCCCTTCCCTTTGAGGAATTTTATATTCCATCCATATAATACTTGCACTGTTTCTGGTTGATGGTTTCTGATATTTTTCTGGAAGCTATTTTTAATATTTCCCCTTTCCCTCTTGCTGAGAATTTTGATATCTAAGTTTGCTGGTTAAATATATATTGCTTGTCTGAATATTCGCCACCACTGAATTCCTTCAGTAGACCCTGGAAAACACTGAGCAAATAATATACAGCAGTTTTCCTGCTGTATACTATTGTGGTTTTCCAAAATGTGGGCAGTGCTTGGGGCATTCCCCAGAGTAGAGACTCTTGAATTATTCAGAAGAGCAATTTCTCGTGAGTGCTATTGGATAGATATAGTAGAGTTACCATGCTAAAGTCTATGTTCCCAATTTTGCAGATTAAACTTTGACACAAGAACAAGAAAAGTTTGAAGTGAAACCTCATAAACTACCATTCACTGTGATAGATTAAGCAGAATTGCTTAGAATGTTAAATTAGACTAAATTTAATTGCTTCGATAATTAAACAGCTACAAGGAGGAGCTGTCTGAGCAGGATTGGGTGTCTTACTTGGAGGGCAGCAATAAAGCTCAGCTTCCTTGGAACCAGGCCTTTTTTCCTTCATGAGGCAGCGATGGGAGGTGACTCCAGATGCGGGCCCTGGGCACGGGACCAAATTGTGAACTAGTTAAAACAAGGCTGAGGCAGAAACACGTTTCCATAAGACATGCAAACCAGTGTGCCATGTCAGTTTACCATCACCACAGCAACACCCAGAAGTTACTACCCTTTTCCTAGAAATTTCTACATAAACCACCCCTAATTTGCATCTGTAGACTTGTATTTTCTTTTTTTTTTTGAGACAAGGTCTTACTATGGCTCAGGCTGGAGTGTGGTGGCGTGATCTCGGCTCACTGCTGCCTCACCTCCTGGGCTCAAGCAGTTATTCCACCTCAGCCTCTGGAGTAACAGGGACTAACTCGAATCTTGCAGCACCATGCCCAGCTGATTTTACTTTTTGTAGAGATGAGGTCTCACTGTGTCACCCAGGTTGTTTCCAAACTCCTGGACTCAAGTAATTCTCCTACTTCAGCCTCCCAAAGTGCTAGGGTTACAAGCGTGAGCCACCGTGCCTGGCTAGACTTGTATTTTCAACGATCCACTTCTCCTTGTACGTCCCATGGGCACTCTCATGGAAACCAGAATGCTTCCAACTGTATTCCTCTTCCAAGCCTGTAACTCCTGATATGCTCACTGTTGCAAGTCAGAAGCTTGATTTCATCACTGATGTTTTTCTCATGTTTCACCTCTCATTACCAAGTCATGCTACTGTTAATTTCTGATTAACTCTTGAATTTACCGTCTTATCATCCTCTGCACAAAAAGCCTCAAGTGAGGGTCAAATTCAGCTGTTATCCTGATCTCGTTGGTCCCCATTCTCAATCTACCCTTTTCCAAGTTGCTTTCCCAAGGACTTCTAATATAATAAACTCTTTACCTCTTTTGCACCACAGACTTCTTTGAAAATATATATGCTGTTGATCCTCTCTGTGGAAAACGGCACAAATAAAACTTACCAACAGATTTCATTGGTTCTTGGGTTCTACTGAGGCCTATCCATGATTTATAGATTAAGAATCGATGACGTAGCTGGGCGCGGTGGCTCACGCCTGTAATCACAGCACTTCGGGAGGCTGAGGCGGGCGGATCACTTGAGGTCGGGAGTTTCGGACCAGCCTGGCCAACGTGGTGAAACCTTGTCTCTACTAAAAATGCAAAAATTGGCCGGCCGTGGTGGTGGGCGCCTGCGGTCCCAGCTGCTCGGGAGGCTGAGGCTTGAGACTTACAGCACATCGGGCTCGGGAGGTGGAGGTTGCGGTGGGCCGAGATGGCACCACCACGCTCCAAACGGGGCAACAGAGGGAGACTCTGTCTCTAAAGAAAAAAAAAACCAAATTGCCAATGTGACCCATGAAGGGAACTCATTTTCCTCATAATTTTTGGACTGCCACACATTGGTGCCTTTAGTTCTTTGAAGGCCCATATTTTCAACATTAAGACCTATTTGTGGCGGGGCGCGGTGGCTCAAGCCTGTCTGTCATCCCAGCACTTTGGGAGGCCGAAGCGAGCGGATCACGAGGTCAAGAGATCGAGACCATCCTGGTCAACTTAGTGAAACCCCGTCTCTACTAAAAGTACAAAAAAATTAGCTTGGGCGTGGTGGCATGCACCTGTAGTCCCAGCTACCTGGGAGGCTGAGACAGGAGAATTGCTTGAACCCGGGAGGCGGAGGTTGTAGTGAGCCAAGATCGCGCTACAGCGCTACAGCCTGGCGCCTGGTGACAGAGCAAGACTCTGTCTCGAGAAAAAAAAAAAAAAGAAAAAAAAAAAGACCCATTTGTTAGTTAATAGAGGTTTATCTTCACTGTCTCCATGAAGTAACCACTGTCTCCATTTTGTAACCACAATGACTACAAGTAGTTCTTTCTCTGTTCAATTATTAGGTCCAGAATAGAAGATGTCATTGTGTACTTTATTTCCCTCACACTGTGTTATGCTCTGATGTGCTATGCTTGGCTATCTGCCAGAGATGGGTAAATTATAAAACTCATGTGTACTCCTTAAGTTTATATCTTATGCTAGTTTATAAGACCAATTACAAGGACAAAAGATTAAAAAAAAAAAAGTGGATATAACTATGACTGCTGTACTGCCTGTGAGCTGCTATTCTGGGCACCCTGCCTAGCGGGTAGTCCTCCTTTGTAAAGACCAATATGATCCCAGCACTTTGGGAGGCCTAGGCGGGCAGATCACGAGCTCAAGAGATCAAGACCATCCTGGCCAACATGGTGAAACCCCATCTCTACTAAAAGTACAAAAAATCAGCCAGGCGTGGTGGTGCGTGCCTATAGTCCCAGCTACTCGGGAGGCTGAGGCAGGAGAATTGCTTGAAACCAGAAAATGGAAGTTGCAGTGAGCCAGGATCGAGCCACTGCACTCCAGCCTGGCGACAGGGCGAGACTCTGTCTCAAAAAAAAAAAAAAAAAAAAAAAAAAAAAAAAAAAAAAAAAAAAAAAAGAGCAGTACGGCTGCTGCTGTTCACTGCCGCTTCAATAAAAGCTTCTGTTGAACGCCACTTGCTAGCCCTTGAGTTGTTTCCTGGGCAAAGTCAAGAACTTGGGGGCTTCCCTGTCCTGCATCATCAGGAGAACTATAATTTCCTATGAGTCCCAAAGTTCTCAGGGGTGGGCAGTTGTTTTTTTCCAGATGAGTCCTGTAGCTAGCTGGCACCCCAAACGCAGATTGCGTGGCACCAGGCAGAGCCTTAATATCACGATTGTCAAAACTGCCCAGTCGAGTTTGCACTAAAGAAAGGGAGACTGTGAGGAGGTCAACTAGATGTTCTTTCATTCAGCAAGCATTGCCAGTCACCTAAGAGGGAGTTAGTTTCTCTACCAGGAAGCTGTTTTATTTTCTGTTGTTCTATGACTTTAGCACATATCACAGTGTATTTTAATTACAATTTCACTTTTTGGCCTCCTCCCCATTTTGTCAGTTCCACAAGGGCAGGGCTTGTGGTTAGGTAAGCATTGACTCCCAGATTCCTGGCAGTGTTTATCATGTGAAAATGCTCTATTAAGTTTTAATCAATTATAAATGCAGTGCACCGTGGCATTTAAAAGGGTGTGAATTCTGCAGTACAATTAACTGCGTCTTGCCTGCTGAGCAGCCCTAGGTACGGTTAACCTCTTAGTACAACAGGCCCCTCATCTGCAAAATAAGTACAGTAATGGTAATGATCTTGTGATGCTGTGAGATGAATAAGTTAGTAAGAAGAATGCTTTAAAGAAAACAGTGTGCAGTTCAAGCTAATGAATGAGAGATAGCCTTAAGATAAAAGCAACATAGAAATGAGGAAACTAGAGAAAAATGGAGCCACAACCAGTAGATTACGAAGCAAAGCTTAGACTACCTTGAAACTTCCAATTCTATAATATATTTCCTTTCTAGTGGTTAAGTCAATTTTATTTTAAGTTTCTATTAAGTTGAAAGAATTCTGACTTACTAGTCACACTTGTTAATATTTTCAATTTCATAGTTAAGAAATTAATGTTCCTATAATTTAATTAGCATTTCTCTCTAAATTAGTGAGATGAGAATCTCCACATTTCTTATTTCTGTTCTGTCTTTAGTAAATTTTTTGTTGTTGCTGCTTTATGCTAACAATGTTCCTATTTGAGAGTGTCTATTTTGTGGATTCTTATTGATCTGTGTGTACATGTTTATGTATGTATTCTGGCCTATGCGGCTGATCCTTTAACAACATGGGTTTGAACTCTGAGGGACCACTTATACATGGAATGTTTCAATCAAACTTGGATTGAAAATTCCGTATTTATGGGATGTGAAACCCTCCTTTACTGATGGCTGTCTTTTTGTATCCATGGGTCTTACAGGGACAAATGTGGGACTTGAGTATGCACAGATTTTGGTTTGCCCAGGTTCCTGAAACCAGTCTTTCAATTATACTGAGAGACAACTGGAACGTTTTTCTGTTGCATGAGATTTAAAGCTCTTTTCTAAGTCTACAAGTCTGAAGCTTGGTTTTAAACTATTTATAGTATAATTTGTTGTGCTGTTTTAATATTTTTTTTCCCATTTATTTATTTTATTGCATTTTAGGTTTTGGGGTACATGTGAAGAACATGCAAAATTGTTGCATAGGAACACACGTGGCAGTGTGATTTGCTGCCTTCCTCCCCATCACCTACATCTGGCATTTCTCCCCCTGCTATCCCTCCCCAGCTTCCCACCCCCCACCGTCCCTCCCCTATTTCCCCCCAACTGACCCCAGTGTTTTAATATTTTAATGAGACTTTTTCCTCATTATTGCTTCTAGGATCACATTTAAGAATTCTCACTCTTACTTTATGAAGATATCTTCAAAGACTTTAAAAAAAATTTTCTCTTGATATTTAGTCTTCTGTAACACACCTAGAAGTAACTTTGAGGTATGATGTTGTTGCTGCAAATTTATTGTTTCCATTATGGAAAGCCAATTGTCCTAGCACTGTTTAACAAAGGAATTCCTCTCTTTGTGTGACTTGTAATGCCTTTGCTGTTGGGCATAAAGGACCCATTATTTCATGGTTCTATTTGTGTTTTATTGATACTTTTGTCTATATCTCTACCATCTTCATATTGTCTAAATTAATATCATTGATATAATTAACAAATTTAATATAGCATATGAATAAACCTTCGTATTCACTAAGTCAAGGCATCTTATTTGCAAATCTTCTCTATATGTGAATTGGCTCTTCCAGTCAATGTGTTTCAACCAATATATTAATTTTTTAATTGAGATGAAATTCACAGAAATTTCACCATTTTAACCATTTTGAAGTGTACAGTTTAGTCCTTTTGGCACATGCACAATGTTGTATAACTGCCACCACTACCTAATTTCAGAATATTTTCGTCACCCCCAGAAGAAATCCTGTATCCAATGAGCAATTTCTCCCTTTTTCCCTCTCTCCCAGTACATGGAAATCACTAATATATTTTCTATTTCTATGGATTTGCCTGTTCTGAACATCTAGTACAAATGAACTCATTTTGTGTCTGAGTTCTTTTACTTAGAGTCACATTTTCATGGTTCATTTATGATGTTTGAGATTCTTTCTACTTTTGGACTACTAGTAATAATGCTGCTATAAATGTTCATATACATGGTTTTGTTTGAATATTTGTTTCCAATTATCTTAGAAGCGAAACTGCTATGTCATATGGTAATTCTATATTTAACTTTTTGAGGAACTACCAAACTGTTGTCCGCAGAAGCTGCACCATTTTACTTTTCCACCAGAAATAGATGAGAGTTCGAATTTTATTACATTCTTCCAAACACTTATTATTTTCTATTTTTTTTGCAGCTGCTCTAGTGACTGTTAGGCAACATCTTATTGTGATTTTAATTTGCATTTTCCTCCTAATGGCTAGCAATGGTTAGCATCCTTTCAGGAATTTTATCACCCATTTATACATTTGGAAAAATTTATATTCAAGTCATTTTTCATTTTAAAATTGTGCTATTTGTCTTTTTGTTGTTCAGTTGTAACAGTTTTTTGATGCTCTGAATACTAGACTCTTATGAGATGTATTATTTGCCAACATTTTTTCCATTCTGTGGGTTGCCTTTTCACTTGCCTAATTGTCTTTTGATGTACAAATTTTTAATTTTGATGAAGTTCAATTTATCTTTTTTTCTTTCCTTGCTTGCATGTTTGCTGTCTTGTTTAAGAAACCATTCCATATGAATTTTAGGAATAATTAGTCAATTTCTTTATCAAAAAATTGTTGAAATTTTGATAGTAAATACATTTGGGGAATATTGCCATGTTTCAATATATGAACATGGATAATTTTCCATTTACTTAGGTTTTACTTAATTGCTTTCACCAATGTTTCATAGTCTTTAGTATTTTACCTGCTTAAAAATTTATTTTTAAGTATTTTTTTCACTTTGATCCTATTTTAAATGGAGTTGTTCTTATAATTTTATTTTTAAGGTGTTCATTGCTAGTGGTTAGAAATACGACTTTTATATGTCACCCTTGTATCTCTTAAGTGTGCTGAACTCATTTCTTACCTCTAATAGTTCTTTATTGTGTATGAATTACTTAGTTGTTCTTATATACAATTCATCATCTATGAAATGAGATAGTTTTACTTCGTTTCTTTCTAATTTGGATGCCTTCTATTTCTTTTTCTTGCCTAGTCAGAATTATTTCAGTGTCATGTTAAATAGAAAGAGTAAGAGGAGAAGTTCCCTAGTTGCTGATCTTGGGAGGGAAGACTTTTGGTCTTTCACGCTTAGTTATAACGTTAGCTGTACATTTTTGAGTAGATGTCCTTCATTAGGTTGAGAAAGATTCTTTGTATTCTTCTTTTTAAAGTATTTTTTATCATGTAAAAGTATAAGTTTTGTCAAATGATTTCTGCATCAATTGAGATGATGGTATGCTTTTTTCTTCATTCTATTAATATTGTATTTATAATGATCGATTATTTTGTGCATTAAACTATCCTTGCATTCCTAAGCTGGATCCCACTTGGTCATCATGGTAAACAATTTTTGATGTCAATTTGGCTGGGTCATGGTATCCAGATGTTCGATCAAACACCGGTATAATTGCTAAAGTGAAGGTATTTTTTACTTAAGATAATGTTTACATAAGAAACTTGAGTAACTATTATCTTCCATAATGGTGGGGGCCTCACCTAATAAGGTAAAGGCCATAAGAGAAAACAGGTTGAGATTTTATGAGAAATAATAAATTCTTCTTCCAGAATGTCTTTGGACTGGAGCTGCAAAGTCAACTTAATCTCGAGTTTCTAGTTGGAGAGCCTACCGGGCAGATTTTGGACTTGATAA